TGTTCGAGACATGTATAAGTTAATAAAAGCATGAATTATCAAAAACTTCAACAAGTAGCTTTGAATTAAACAAAGTGTACAACCATAAAAAAGACATAACAAACATCAACATTAAATTTGTATAATTATTTAATTGTCTTGTAAGACAATACAAACGAAGACTATATTCAAAGCAAGGGTATAATAAAATAATGAACAAACATATAATAAAATAAGAGATTTGGAAGTAGTATAATAAAGATTAATCATGTACAATTTTATTTGGAGATATTCAGACAATAAATTAGAGGAAAACAGAAAAAACAAGTGGCATTGTTCGAATATCTTCATCTTGTTGTACTAAAGGATAAAAATATGGCTGATTAAAGGGAGTAGTGGTAAAGAGGCATCACATAGAAGAAGAATTTCACTATAGCAAGACTTCAAAAGTAAATTTTAAAATATGATGATAAAGTTAGCTATGTTATGTTGATTTAGGTATTGGGTAAAAAAAAAATAAATCACTAATATTGTATGTGTTTTATTTAAGATAATGATATAGGAATAGAGTTAAAAATTTTGTACATGTGTAATGGATAGAAAATGTGCATCAAAATTGTACATAGATAGAAATATTCCAAAAGAACACTGTTACGAAAAGAACTGGTTATAAGTGTAGGAAATAAATTAAAGAGAGCACCACATACAATATTTTATAAGGAATAAATGGGGAAGAATTATAAAACCAACCATAAATAGATAGTATAAGGATAAAATTGATGATGATTTTGTTGTTGTTGATGATGTGCTACATTATGAACAATGGGACATAAGATTATTAAAAAAATTCAATGAAGATATGTCGAGTTTTATGAAAAAGACATAATGATACCAGAATTAGGTGGAACTCAACGGAAACAAAAAAAAGCAAACTTTTATTATACTGAGTTAGGGCAACAACCTCATACAAACGGAAAGGGAAAACACAGCAAACGAATCCCCAGCGGGAAGATCCGAGGGCGGAGTAGCGTCGGCAACGTGGTGAAGGTATAGGGAAGGGTTGGTGGTTGCGGGGTCGATTAGGAGGAGGTTTGGTGGTGATTGGGAGGTCGGTAGGGGAATTGGGACGAAAAGTAAGTGGCTGGACAACCGGATCTGCTACAGAAAAATGTCGGCTATTGTCGAGATGAAGGTGGGGGAGTGACACAACAAGGTTATGTTGCTAGGGTAAGGATGTTTGGGTGTTGGAATGGAGAAATGGGAGGTCGGTGGCTAAGCAGAATGGAGGAGAAGGGTTAGGAAAGCGAATAAGGAAGGATACAACACCACCTCGGAGTATGATATATCCGGAGCACCACTACTACCTCAGATATAGCCCTAGAACAGGGAGGAGGACTCCATACAGGAATTTGAAAACAACACTCAGCAATAAAAACTAAGCCTAAATCTGAAAATATCAAATAAATAGCTCCTACATGAAGGAGAAGTCGAAAAGGTTGGGGGAGAGGGACAGTCGACAGCCCCACCCCAGGCCGCTCTGCCTGGGTTCACTCTGGATCGGCCCTATATTGGGCCGGTCGAGCCAGTCAGCCACTACGTCAAGTGCGCGAGCCTTCCGCACCTGTGTCCCGCCCACGTAAGAGTCTTCTGCACCCACGTCACATAACTATATTAATGTTTAGTAATATATTACCATAGGAGAAACCAACTAATTTGCAGTGAAATAAATCAATACGGGGCTTGCCATGATACAAAATATATGTGGTTATCATGGCCACCTTCATCACCTTATTTACACAATATAACTTCATAAGAGCTAAAAGTTTATTTGTGAACGATAACAAAACACACAAACAATCTTGAACAACAACTAAAGGGCTGAAGTTATAAAGTTTGTCGAAATCAGATATTAACAAACATGAAAAAAAAATTAAAAAACTTCTATAGTTTCAAGCGATGGTGTTTGTTTGCATTCAAACAACTAAATAACTCCACAATGCATGTTAAGGATGTATGCATAAACCTTTCTCAAGAACATACAATAGAAGAAACATTATGTCCCGATAATGCTCACAAATAAATTGATGTCTTCTTCATGCAATGACATAATTTTGTATTAATTAATTCTTCATTAGATAATCGCATGTTGCATTTTGACAATTATCTCATGATTTTAAGTTGATTACCCTCTTTTCACTCAAATACAAACAAAAAATCTACTCAACAAAAAAAAGAAAATCTGCTAAACAGTATTACAACAGCTGTGCAAAGTGAAAGAGTTGTGTCTTTATGGCTATCAAGCAAATAGAAAGCAACTAGCATGATTGTCCTTATTCAACCCACATAGGCAAATTTGGGTGTATTTCATTCTTATTATGGGAAATTTACGTACATACCACACAATTCTCAAATATTTACATATCTAACAGCTAAAAACTTGAGATTTATGCTTATAACACTTTGATGTCACAAACCTATACAGTAAAAAGCGTATTACACTTTTAAAACTTTAGTAATTACGGTGTTTTTTTATTTGATATTTCAGATTTGAGTTATATGCATGTAAAATAAAAGCTCATGTATTACATTTGTAAATACATCAGAATTGTGGTATGTATGTAAATGCCCCTTTTATTATTCAAACAATAAAAAAAAAATTAGAAAACCATTTCATCTCAAACATTTATGTTTGTAACTAAACAAAATGAGTTCCAACAAGCTAAAGAAGTAGTTTATTTTAAAGAGTCTCACTACCTACAGTTGCTTGCTATTTCAAAACCCAGCAATTTACTCATGTTAATCAAATGCGGGAATTAGTAATTAGCAGCATCTACTCCATCACAAAACTAAATTTTAGCTTTCATGAAGTCTTTATTCAAATAAAAAGGACACTATCTTTAGTTCCTAGTTTACAATAAATAGTACATTAAGAAACCATCAAGTAGCCAAAATGGTAACATAACAAAAGATAGTAGCCCCTATAATCAGATTAAAGTAATCTTGATTCAGGCGAGGTTCTACCGGTCACTATATTGAGTAAATGCATGCACTCGAAGGGTATATGAAAATTTAGCACATATATATAAATCTATATATATACATATATACAAACACATACATACACATAGATACAGATATATATAAATATATATATATATATATATATATAAAGGATTTCAAGCAATACTAACATATATCTCCTTGAGCACAATTCTCCTAAACACTTTTATAAAAAACCATTGTTCCCTAAGAATTCAAAAGTGTATGACCTGCCGAAGCTTCCCTATATAAATGCCTTCACAGGAGATTTTCATCTTAAATTTTTGCATATCTGTTGAATTCTGATTTGTCGGTGAATCACACCCCAAGGAATAAAGACTATGAAAGGTGAGAGAGACAAAGATAAAGAGCTGATTTGTCGGTGAATCACACCCCAAGGAATAAAGCCTATGAAAGGTGAGAGAGACAAAGATAAAGAGAGAACAATAATTTGTCATTTCTATTCTCTTTTTGACCTCGTAGGCTTAAAATTTGATATCATTCCTACATCTATTTATAAGGAATAAAATACAATATGATGATATTGCATTTCTTCCTCTGATTTAATGTGGGTCGTACAGAATATTCTAGGTATTTTACATATTTGAGTCAATTGATTGGCTACTCTCTATTTTGGTCAGCTGAGCTAGACTTCAGCTCGGTAAGATCGGTCTGGTTGGCTAGGTTGTGTTGACGTTGTCAGTCGGCTAGGCTGTGTTGGCTTCAAGTCGACGGGGATGATTTGATAGGCTAGACTTTGTTGATTGGTTGAATTCGGTTGGGTGTCGATTCTCGACCCCCGGATGAGGAGTTCCTGTTGGCGGAGAGGAACTACATCATCAGACTGAGGATGAATCAATATAACGTGATGGGTAGCTCATTTCTCAACGAGGACAACATGTAGGATGACTTTGAAACTCTACTGTATTATCAATTTTTGATCCTTGATGAAGAGCCTATGGGGCGTCCATAGAATAGCTGGAGATATTGAGAAGTTGGGTCTTTCCTTGGATTTGATCTACCGAAACATAGTTTGTTACCTTCAGTTGGCTTTCCTGTAATGATTGGCTCGGATGCTTATATGTTTTGTTTTAATCTGGTTAATTCAAATTTGATTCGATTGATCATCCTTTTGTCCTTCTCTTGGCTCGATCGGCCTTCGATCTTATCTCAGATGACCACATCTAATCGGCCTTTAGCTTTGACTTGGGTGGATGCATCTAATTGGATAATTGGGCATTTTTAACTTGTGTACCCTCTTTTGTTGTACTTTCTTTCTTTCTTATGAACATTTAGATCTCCTCAGAATCAGTGTTGGCACATTTTCTATGAATGATATGTAACTGAACGAAATGAGTTGCAACAAGCTAACGAGCATAAGTTCACATAAATAGATTTTAAGAAGTTACACTACCAACAATTTTTTGTTGCCTCAAAACCCAACATTTTATAAATTTTATATATGTACAGGAATAGGGGAGAACCAGGTTATGTCTAGGGTGGGTGATTGCCCCCTGGAATTTGAAATTTTTCTATATAAATAGTAAATTTTAATATTTGTTATTATGTAATTTAGGTAAATTAGTAATTTTGCCCCTCTGATATATTTTTTGTCCAATAATTAAAAAAAATAGACAATTTGTGATTTTGCCCACCCTAAAAAATAGCATTTGTTCTTCCCCTGACAGGAAGATATTTAGCAGCTTTCTACAACATCGAAAGAATAAATTTTAACTTCCAAGTAGATTTCATTCAAATAAAGCAGAGCACACAATATCTTCAGTTCGGGTTTATAATAATTGGTGCATTTAAAAGTCTATCAAAAAGTAGATACGAGAATAGGGCGAGTGATAGTTGCCCTTTTAATCAAAATAAAGTACCTAGGCCCAAGAAAAATTCTACTTATCATTATACCGAGCCAATGGATTAGCAGTAAAATTAAATATATTCAAATAAAAGCAGAAGTTTCAAAAAAGACTTACGTATATCTCATTGAGGGCGTATCTCCTAGCCAAATTATAAAGAACTCCAGGCTCGTTGAGATAGGTGAGCTTTGTCATGTCATCCACACCTCCATGGTCCGCATCCGGATCCCTTGGCAACAATTTCTCCTGGGAAACTGAAACCTACGAAAATCAAACAAAACAAAGCAAACTTAAGAGGAAAAACAAGAGTACTCTCACTCCACGACAAATCGACATACAAAACTCAAGCAAACGAACATTTTTAGGAAGCAACAGGAAAGTGGTCGGGAAAACAATCCTACCTTCTTCCCCCGAGGTGTCGTCGTGACTACGAATGACTTATCCCTGACCTCAACAACCTCGGCCTCCACCCATGCCGATTCCTTGTCCTCCACCCACACCTTGGCACCCCTGCCGAAGCTCATCTTGCGGAGGACCGCCGAAGAGGGCGGCATCTTGCGGAGGACCGCCGATGAGTTCGTCGGGGTACTAACCAAAATCGATAACTAAACAGAGGAGAGGCGGAAACCCTAGAAAGAAGACAAACCGTGCTATTTCCCGCCTTCCTGTTGGAAAAGTAAAAAACAGAAATGTTTCACTGGACCTGCTATTTATGGGTTACATGGAAACAAGCAGATTGCCCGTCTCCGTAGCGTGTCGATGCCCGTAGAAAGTAAAGACGATAGCATGGTTTTTAAAATTTTGATGCATAGGATAAATTTTTTTAACTTATTTAGTTCTTAATATTTAGGGTTTGATTGGGGCTGTTGTAGCTTATCCAAATAAATATTTTATCCTGATAATATGTTGATCAGCAGCTTATCCTGATAAGCTAGTTAGTTGTTTAGTTTATACGGTTGGAAAACACTTGATTCTGGATAAATGATCATTGTTGTTTAGTTATTTGGTTTGTGTATTAGTAAAACAGCTGATTTATAGTTTTATCATGATGAATAACCCATCTGACACGCAGCAGTTGTGTTGTTTGAAATAAAACAGCAATGGTTGCATATTAGATATTTATAACTAATAAAACTTCTTCATAACAGTACAAAAAAAAAATATATTTATTGTTTAATAGTGGTATCAAGAAACCTAAAAAAATAACATGTTAAAATTACAAGCAAGTGAATGACAATATTCATTTTAAAATGTAGAAGTATGTCACGAGGAACGTTGTCTGATTGCGATATCGTAGAACCCCGAGCAACATTGTCCAATTGGGATACCGTCGAACCTTGACTGACGTTCTCTGACTGGATCAGAATATGGCTCCAGTAAAACAGGCTCCTAGAAGGATGCACCTCGAAGTAGAGCATCAAGTTATTGTCGAGGTGAAGAAATTGATATACGCTAACTTTATACGAGATAAGCAATATCCTACATGACTAGCCAAAGTTGTGTCAATTAAGAAGAAAAACTGACAAATCTGGATGTATGTCGACTTCAGGGACTTAAACAAAGCATATCCAAAAGATGAGCTCTTATTATTGATACCAGAGCTAATGGTGGACATCGTGTCATCACACGAGATTTTCTCCTTCACGAATGGATCGTCTGGATAAAACCAAATTCAGATTGCCCAGGAGGATGATGCGCTTATAGCTCTCAGAATGTCGATTAGGATCTTCTGCTACAAAGTAATGTCGTTCGGGCTGAAGAATACCGGAGTGACCTATCAACAAGTCATGATGAGGATTTTTTTTGACCATCCACAATCAAGTGGAGTACTACGTTGATGACTTGGTTATCAAGAGTAAACAGCGAGGGGATCACCTATGTAATTTGAGGATGGTTTTTTGGAGGATTACGACAATATAATATCAAGATGAACCTTTTAAAATGTGTTTGTTGACATCAATTTTTGATGTCAGGAGTATGGGTGTCTACGTGCATTACTCAGGATAATATACTGCCTGTTTGTAGTCATTCGGTAGTTTAGACACCCACTGAGACCTTTTTGGCACGTGTTGAGGGGCACATAGCCAGGGTCGTTCTGCTAGGCTTTGGCTTTCGCTTAGGCGAATATCGGTCGGCATTTGGCATGTCGTACGACTCTGATCGTGTAAACATTAATTGTCACGTCGTGCGCGAAATTAACTCAAATTGACGTGATTGTCATCGAAGTTGTCTAGATGACCCCGGATGGCGAAACGGAACACACGAGTGAGTCCAAACGTTGATTTCACTTAAGAGGGACATTTATTTTGCCATGGCTTCGCGGCGCGGGGGGTGGCTAAAAAGGTACAAATTATTATTTTGGTTCGATTATTGAAAAAGTGGTTCGAATAATCCCGAATGAAGAAACAGACCGCGCTGACGCGTCCGGAACATTGATTTTACCTAGGGATGACATTCATTTCAAACTGATGGCGCGTTTGGGCTAAAAACGAACGGGGCGATGATTATTAAATTTATTATTATATTATTATTATCCTATTTAAACTATCGCTCATCTCTCTCTCCCCCCTATCTATCGCGACCAAGCCCTCCCAGCGTCGCCAACTTCACGACCCCCAGCCTTCTCTCGCGCAGTCTTCGCCGGAGCTCCCTCGCCGCGCCTGAGGCACGCCAACCGCCTCCTTTCCCGACGACCGAAGCCCCTCCTTCGGCCCTCCTTTCTCGCCAGCCATTTGAAGTCATCTTTGGCTCTTGCAAACCATGTCGTTGCCTACCTCGTCAGACCTCTCTCGTCGCCGGCGAAGACCGAAGAGCCTCGCCACCAACCGGATCTTCTCCCTAGCAGCTGTGGCTCCCTCCCCCTAAAGTGGAAAAGCCAAAGCTCGAGCAGCCCTCTTTATCTCCTTGTCGTCGTTGGATCTCTTCCTCCTTGTCGGACTTGTGATTTGCTTGTGTCACATTTACTATGGAGAAAATCAGCGAGGATCGTCTGATTTTGGGCTCTCCTCCGCGTCTCTTTTGCTCTAGGCGCACACCGCCGGTGAGCTAACTCCTCTACCTCGCCGTCTTACCTTCCCGGCGGCCAGACCACTTCGATGTCGCCGGACAGCGAGCATTGCCGCTGTTCGAGGAGACGCGTGCGTCTTTTACCTCGTGGGTTCCCCTCCTTTGCCGTAATCGAGCAATCTCCCTCATGAAAGTATATTTTGGTTATATTTTTATATACCAAAATTATTATTTTTGGGTTGCTTTGCATACCTCACTGACTCCTGCCCTCCTTGGGTCTTTTTGTTGTCTTGTGCACGTTCAACAAGACACACTGGAGCATGGATCAAACGTCAGTGAGCTTGGAGCAAGCAAAGAAAACATTGGTGAGATTTTCTAACTCTTATCTGGCCCTAGGCTTTAGTGGTGTCTAAGCGTGTGGGTTTGATAGCCCACATAGGGTGCATGCGCAGGTGTGAGCTGGCGTAGCGACGTACCTATGTGATTGATCGTCGATTTCTTAGAGGGAGTCGTAGGAGTAGGAATACCATGCGTTGACGAGTTTTGTACGAAATCGAGTGATCTCCAGTGTTGTGAGCCTTAGGCCTTAACCCCGCCAGGTCGAAATCCCAATTTCCCATGGTTTTGGCGCTTCTAATCTCCCTTGGAGGGATTAGTTGAGTTCGATCTTAGAGGACGGGAAAAGCTTTGTAGCTAGTCCGTCCTATAAGATCATGGGTGTTCGTAAAGCGGAAAAAGCTTTGTAGCTAGTCCGCCCTACAAACAGTGGAGAGTCTCCTCTACGAGAAATCGGAAGGGGAAACCCTCCATATTGTCATGCCAAAGCTAGAGGCGACGATATCGCACATCTAAGGGTCTAAACCTTAGGTTTCTCATGTGAGGTTGTTAGCACGGGCCTGGTTTGCTATCTGCCTATTGGTTTGCCGCATATTGCTTCACTTAATTTCAATCGGCCACCCCGGCCCAGCGAGCATTTCACTTCGCTCCAACCGGCTACCTCGGCCCGGTGAGCATTTCATTTTGCTCCGATCGGCCCCTCGGCCCGGCGAGCATCTTACTTCGCTCCGACCAACCACCCCAGCCCGCCGAGCATTTCACTTTGCTCTGATCGGCTCGCTTTGGTTCGATCGACCGCGCCGGCTCGGTTGACCGAACACTTTGGTTCAACTGACCACCACAGTCCGGTTGACCGATCACTTGCATGTTTGTTTGCTTTCGTATTATATTGCATGCTTGTCTAATTGCATCTTGCAACTTATATGTGTTAGCTTGCATAATCATTATCATTTGCTTGTGTTGCATTTCTTCGGGCCACTATCACCACGGCATGCCCATCTCTTCTGTAACTGTCGCCTCAGCACACCTTCCTTAGGCCGCTGTCGCCACGACACGACCATCTCTTTCGGTCAATACCTCCT